AATTAGCTAACACAGAGAATTGCCAGTGATGAGAACCAAACTTGCCAGTTATTCTTTTCCTTCTAGCACCCTAGACACCCCAGTGATCAGTGTCATCAAATCTACACCACCCCACAAGAGCAAGCCAGTGTTCATTCTTTTGAGTCCTGCCTAGAGGAGGTCAAGCTTTCCATTATGACCTGCCCAATCGTTTTTTTGAATCTTGAGTCTCAAACCACCTTGAACTGAAATGAGTCCTCATCAAATCTCAAATCACACTCAAATCAAATCATGCCCTCTTTGAATCTCAACCTCCAATCCAAATAAAATCAATTCAAATTCAAATCAAGTCAGGGCTCATCTTATTTTTCATCAAAATCACCAATAGAACTCAATAATGGGCAATATAATAGGCTTAGAATAAAAATGAAGGTAAGCCAGGAACGATTACTACAGTTTCAAAGTATACAGAATACCACCAGTTTTGCCAGGACTGGAAAACCCAAAGAATGCTTTCTTGCATCCATTCCCTTTGGATCTTTTCAAGTATTCTCTTCTTATCCTCATCATTATCAGCCTCATCATTATAATGCAATTTTATGTGTATTTCCTTTAGTAGATATTAACTTTCAAGTATAGACTGGAGAATAGTTTATGGATCTTCAAAAGTGCTGAACTTTATCATTCTGTTATATCAAACATCTGTTTGCCTAAATATCATTTTGAAGCACATGAAGACAATCCCATTATGGTGCATATTCAAATTAGTTCTAAATGTACTTTTTCTTGAATTCTCTTTTTTTAAAGATGAATTGAGATACCAAGATACTATGGGTTGTGTAAAGGGCTTTTACAGCCTTATTAAATTAAAAGAACTTTTTCTTTACTTTAAGGTACTAAAACCTGCAACGGGCAGGACAATGATAGTTGGTAGGATTGCATAATGCATGCAGATGGGACCAGGATTATCCTGTTTTTTTCTGTTTTTCAAGCTTACACTATCCTTTTTATGTGTTTTTCTCCTTCAGCTGGTGGGAATCCGAAATTCCACAGCACAAATGGAAGGGCTTTGGAGCACACTAAAAAATAAGTTTAAGTATTACTTGAGCTCCCAGAGACACAATGCGTTGTTATATCCATTACAATGACACCTCTCCGTGAGATGATCTTCTTTCTGAGGGTGATTCTAAGCAAGCTCTGAAACCTGTTCTGTGCCTCATCCCCATTGGCCCAATTCCTATTATCCATCATGTCTAGCTTTAAAAAAATCCTTGCTTTTGGCTCAGTGGAATTGATAGTACTGGAAAGTTGGCAGATACATTTGTTTAAACAACATTTCACAACAGTCTGCTGGCAGGTGTTTCCAGAATGCTGTGAGCATGGCTTTCTGGATCAAGTGTGTGTCTGCCAATGAACATAGCAACAAGCAGGAAAAAAAGTGTTTTCCTTCACCAGTTGGGACAGTGGAGAGCTTTAGATATGTGATATGTTTTGGCAGCAAGTCAACAAGTGCCATTATAAAGTACATTATAATGTTATATGGATAGCTCATGTTCTTGCTGATAGGGAAACAATCATGTTCTTGTTCTGTTTATTTTAATAATTCCATTTATTGTATTCTGAGGGTTTTGTTTTTTCAAAAAAAGCATTTGTATCTACTGCTGAGAGAAATAGTAATAACCAGCCACACATCAAAATATAACACTAAAAGTAGATAAACATGAACTGTTTGTACACTGTGAATAAATATCCCCCCGGTTATTTACCAAAGGCTGCACCTACCTACTTTTGCAGCCTGGATGTGGCCTCCAGAGAAATAAGCCAGGAGATCAAAAAAGTTATACTTCAGCCACATTGAATGCAACTCCATTCAAACTTAGTGAAGAGACAGAGTCGAATTGAGCCACAAAATCTTACCCTTAGGCAAAAGGGAAAACTCCAATAAATCTTGATTTGGTTGGAAACTGGGGGAACAGGATAACCTAGATGAAACATTAAATGTGCATTGCATTTAACATATCTGGGTGTCTTTTTTAGAAAACAGTCACAATGCCAGGTCAATCTGGATCAGATTAATGGAAAGGGGATTATAATTCCTGTCACTTTGCCTCATTACAAATCAAAATCTCTCCCAATTTGTCATCGACAGAGGGTAGATTCACTGATACCATACAATGACAAAAGATTAATATTTTCTCCTTTATTTGCTGTGTATCAAATCATCTTTTTATGGCAGCTGTTTAATTGTACATCTCACATAGGATTAGTTTGGCTCACGGATTGGAAAGAAAAAAATTATTATTAGAGAGTCCCCCAAGCTTTATAATTTATATTTTATTCAACTTCATCCTATCTTATCCTATCAACTTTTTTTCTATGCATCTTTCCCTAAGTGTTTCCTTTATTTTATTGCTGCTAACACTTCATTAAACAGCCCTTTCTTAAAAATTCAATAACTTTGGTGAAACTTTTTTCCAGATTAGGCTAATTTATATAGGCTTCTCTGATGAAAAATAATGGACCACACTAGATTCAGCCCTTCTGTCCATGCTATGTTGAAGTAACTTTTCAGCAGATTGTGGCAGGGTTGTACTGTTGGCATTAAGTGCTAGTACAAGCCCTACCCCCAATAACTGTCTGGTAAATGCTATTTTCCAAGGAGGAACCCTGGAAATGAGAGATGTACAAAAATGTTTGTATCTTTAGTCATTTTCTGACTGCTGATTTTCTCTTTCTGCCTATCTCTTATTTACAGTCATTTGCACACTGTCTTACTCATCCTACTTGAATGTTGTTAAACATTTACTGGATTTTTTTGTATTTTATCAGTACAATATAAACAACAAGCATTGTCCTGATTCTATCCTGATTATTTCTCCACTGTCCCTTCTTGGTGTCTTCTTCCACATAATGAAATGAAATGGATAAAACCTGCTAAAATCCTTGAGTGAATAATATGGACATTTTAACAAGCTGGATTACAAGGAACAACATTAATCATTCAGAGAGATAATGTATAAATCTGTTGAAGCAAAACAAAAAAAGCATAAAAAGCCATATAGCATTTGGCCATACCATTAAAGGAAATGGTTATAGTGCTTAATGGTTATACATATATTAGCAAAGGTTTACTTATATGCTGTGAGAAACCAAATCACACAGGGGCTGGGAAACTGGGGTGTTCTCTCTCTAGGATATCTGAATGAAAATGGAATTTTCTGTTTCTTTATCATTTCTTTTAAAATATTATTTTATTCCTTTCCTAGAGATACTATGATACAGTTAGTACTCATAAAAATAATAGTAGGCTCAACATTTATTTGCTATCAACAAGAAGATACAGAATTTAATGGCATTATGGAGTTGCTAAATCTTGATTGTAATAGGAGATGAAAATGCAGAACCTGAATAATTTGAAAGAAATTTATGCACTTGACAGGTTCTATTATTTTCTTGATAATTTTAATTTTTTTTTTAAAGTAGTGCACTTTTTTCTATTTCCCAAGTCTTAGCAGAGACTTTTTTTCCTGTAAGTCTGTGCTTCTTTTTTCTCCATCTCCTCAAATGTTGTAGGAAACTCAAAAAGCATTCTATTTTGTGATACTTTGAGTATTCCTATAGTCACAAACCCATTTACTGTCTGTATTTCTTTTGCCAACATTTTATGTTCCATTTTGGTCTCATTTGGCCAACAATACTACTTTTTTGAAAGAAACTCTAATTATAATAGGTCTTCGTGATATGGGATTTAGTAGCTGTGAATTAAGAGGATGGGTCTTCTTGTGGGCATATAATGGATTAAATGATAGGAAATAGAGAGTCGGAATCATGGGAAATCTTTGTAATGGAAGTAGATGAGAAATAATGGTAAGGAAAGTGGCAGGAAAACAGGTGGGCAGACAGCAAAGTGAATAGAGTTGGGAAAGAACATTATGGTTGGGCATAGAAGTAAAAGGACAGACCAAAGAGATGGGAAGGAAAAGTAGAAAAGAGTGGGTACATGAGAGAACTGAGAGATGGAGGAAAAAACAGAAGTATGACCTGTGGAAACAGAAAAGAAAAAGATTAAAGAAGGTGAGAAGGCTCAAGGGGCTTAAAGGCTGCTCCATTCTTTGTAGAAATAAATGAGCAATCCTGGACATTTTAGTTGTTTTCAGATTCCCAGCTGGATGAGGTATACTGTGTAAAAACTGGACTTATATGGGAAATACTGGATGTATAATAATCTAAACAGGCCAGGTTTGGTGTATGGGTTGATTTTTATCCAGGCGGTTAATGGTATTCTTGTATGAGTTTGAACTGGGTCATAATTAAGATTACCTTTGGAGCACTTACTGACCTACCATTGAATTAAGTAAGAGACAAGAGCCTTTACAGCATTTTCTCCTACTCAACAGAACTGTGTAGCACATGATCAGTACTAGATTCAGTAAGACTGGTAGTCAATAAAAACAGGTCCTTTTCAGTTATGTCCACATTGTATTGGATTGTTATCACAAGCCAGTGATCTTATATTCTTAGTTGACTACCTTGGATTCCCTGTATATGTTGTATTTCTTCAGACTCACCGGAGTTGGTTCTTCTAGAAGTTTCAGTAAAGCAAGCAGCAGAAAAACTTACTCCTGACTGTACTGTTCAAGCAGTAGAAAAGGGACAACAGTGGCAAGAAAGGGTGGGATTATTTAAAAAAAAAAAAGCCTCTCAAGCCTTGCCTTATCTCTGGAGAGTGGAAATGAAAGGAGGAGGAGGAGGAGGCGGCGGCCAAACAAATGAACAACTGAACAGTTAGTAAAGATAAAGGGAAGGAGAGAGACATGAGTAATTTTACTGGAAGATTCATATGTTTGACTGGATATTATATACAGAGAGACTTGATTCATTTTTGAGATAGTTGCTGAAAAAGAGGTGCCAATTTTACTGAGTGTTATTGGAGCCCAAACATACAGCTGATTAAGAAATTTAGCCCCACAAAAACCTTCATAATTTAGCATTGTAGAACTAGTAAAAATCATGCAGGAACATTTTGCACCAAGGTATTTATTGATTACAGAGCATTTTAGGTTTCATAAACAAAAACAAGAGAGAGAGAGAGACTACTGCAGCATATCCAGATGAACTTTAAAAATATTCTAAACATTGCACATTTGGCAAAGTATTAAGTGATGCATTGAAAGATTGGCTGATCTCTGGAATTCTGAAAGAAAACATTAAAAAAAAGGCTTTTAACACAGACAGATTTAACACTTAAGATAGCATTTCAGATTGCTACCTTCATGGAAACTGCTGGTAGAAATACTACAGAGTTGCAGATAAGAGTGACAGCAAATATAAATAAGCTTGTAATACTATGTATACTGACAATAATAGGTCAATACAAACTGTGCTATCATTGTGGTAGAGGTCTGTGCACCACCGCAGTGAAGAGTTCGAGGCAAAACCTGCAGAAAATGCAATACAGTGAGACATATTCAGAGACTGTGTTGTTTAGGAAAAAGCAAACCATCTGCTAAATTTAAACAACCAAGCCACTATTTTAAAAAAAAAGTGCAGTGGTGCATGTCATATATAAAGAATTTGATAATGAAAATGAAACAGGGCTAGCTCACCTGGAAATCTAGAGCATAAAATGAAATTAGATTTTTTTTTTTATGCCTTCAAGTCAGGGTTGACTCCTGGTGACTGCCTAGACTACACCCTCAAGTTTCCTTAGCAAAATATCAGAAGTGGTTTGCCATTGCCTGCTTCCTAGGGCTGAGAGAAAGTGACTGGCCCAAGGTCACCCAGCTGGATTTGTA